TTCTTGTTGTAAAGTGCATGTTTATCACCAGAAACTATAAAGCATAAAGTTGCAAATTCCAAACGCGACAAACAGACTCCTCTACTACCCCTCCCACATCAATTATACTTTTTACCACCCAGAATTTAGGGTACACGTGACCAGCCCCAGCCAGGGTATTTTCTCCAGCTAGGAGCGTAGAGGAAAGAGCCTGGGTACGAGGTTGACTTTAAGTTTGCAATGAAAATAGTGAAAACAGGCTTCAAAAAGGTCTATTAAAATGTTAATAATATGTGAAGGTAAAAAAGTTTTCTGTCTTTTTAGTTCTACAGAACTTAAAATCTTGATACATGAAAACTTCTTCGGTTTTGTCTCTAAGCTCATAATTACAGTTTTTGTCCGTGCTTTTGGGTATAACAGATGTAGGGGATGATTTGTTCTTTTTATTTTACTCATGTATTTTTTACATATGATGATTCTCCTATCGGCTGGATTGTCAATTCCCATCTAACTGTAGAGCTTCTAGGTATATTTCAGCAAATGGGAAAATTATTTTCATGGCTCTTTTCTGTATTGTTTCAAGTTTATCAGACAGAATACTTGGTATTGATAATTGATTGCCATACAGGGACAGCATACTCCAAGACCGATCCAATAATAGTTATATAAACCTTTAAGAGTACTCAATGACGCAACGCCAGCTCTTTGAAAAATTCGCAACGAATAGAGTCCTTTACAAGCCTTTTTGAATATGTAGTCTATGTGGGTATTCCAATTGGGGACATATTTTTAAATGTCCCCACATACAGTACTGTCCAGAAATAACCTAACAGAAACCGCGGTTAACCTCGCTCAAACCTAGCTTTAACCTCGGTCAAATCTCGGTTAACCTCGGTCAAACCTCGCATTAACCTCGGTCAAACCTCGGTTTAACCTCGGGCAAACCTAAATTTAACCTCGGTCAAATTACAATACGGTCCAAAAATAACCTAACAGTGCGGTTGCGGTTAGGTTGCGGTTAGGTGGCGGTTAGATTGAAGTTTTGTTGCGGTTCGGTTGAGGTTCGGTTCAGGTTAGGTTGCGGTTAGGTTGAGGTTCGGTCGAGTTGAACCGCATTGAAACCGCAAATTATAAATGTTTTACTACTGCCGTAATGGTAAATTGGCAATGCCAATACCTTGACTGCATGTGCAGAAGTTGCGGGTACATGAGTTTTAATGCAGTACACAACCTCGTACCCAGGCTCTTACCTTCGCACGTTCCAAGCGGCGGAAAGACCCTGGTTGGGCCTGGTCACGTGACAACACAGAATCTGGGGTATTTTCAATTAGCGTTCTAAAAATACTCAGGGAGGAGTGGCAAGGGAATTATTGCCGATGCCGTCAAATGTAAAAATAAACAAAGCAAAGGCACGCCTATTAATAGCACACTTTTATCGTTACTAAAAATATATTGTAACCTCGAGTGTTAATAGTAATGTGAAAGAAACTCCTAAAAGGTACTTTATATAAATCCTGTAGTGTGCCATCCAATATTACATGTCGATCGCTTTGTTGAAGTATTAAATCACACGTCGCGGCAAACATACAAGATATAAAGATAATACATTTCTAGACTGACCAGTATATCCTGATACTCGACTCAAAGGACTTATCAGTTAATAACGACAAGAGCGATCTTATGATTTTCGAAATGTCGCCAAGAATGCGTGGTGTGTAATTTCCTGCATTCGCTTCACTGAAATCACTATGCTGAAATTCAACGATTAAGAAATAAGTCGAAGTATATACCTCTCCGTTATCAAATCCACGGTAAAATAATACCACAACAGCCGGCTACTCGACGGAATAACATGCAAGTACAGTCTACGTACTAATTATACGGTACATAACTCAGCCTATTTCTCTGATATTATAGACAATAGTCAATACAATTAGATACCGCATAATAAATATAAATTTGCATGATAAACAGCTTGAATATTTGTGACATTGTCATTTGCTTTACTGTGATCGATGACGATGTTGATTCTTTATAATCAGGGACGCCGGAACTGGGGGGCAGGAGGGGCAGCCGCCCCCATTGCCCTTTACCAGGAGGGGCAAGGGGGGCAAATGTGCCCTTTCAATTTAAAGGATTGCCTTGGCGAAATAGCGAATCTCTTACGAATTTGCTTCAGAAAACGCAAGAAATGCAGTCATCGAGCTTCAAGAATAGCACAATCGCCTGGCGGGGAACCCCTCACACCCCTATCATCCAATAAATAGAAAACATGATTAGGCGAAGTTCAACTCCCGGTGTTTTGCAAACATCTCTTAGTATATATCAATTCAAAAGTGCCCTTTCACGAAAATCTGCCCCTCCTTGCCTTCACATCGTTCCGGCGTCCCTGTTTATAATAATATAAATACAAGAGGATTTTTATTTCATAGTTGTGAAATATATACGGATTTATATAAAAGAATGATGGCATGCTCCTGTAGTGTGAGACACTGTTATTTAAAATAGTATAAACATCGATATATTCTGTAAAGTCGGTATACAGTACAGCGTTAATGTATAGTACGTGTCTATTTTACTAGAGAAAACAAAAAAAGCGATATTTCCCTTAATTCTTAAATACATATTTTATATAGTGTCTGCGGTACACTAGACTGTCGTATAGATATAACGGCTTGTTTTCAAGTCTCAACAAAAGCTGACTGCTAGTTTTATACTGGATTAAATAGCTACCAAGGTAAATCTTATGTCTGACTATTGATTTGAGAGTATGATTAATGGATGTATGTAGCTATATATTCGTAACAAAATGTCATTTGTGTATATCAGAAAAATTATGTTTTTATACTGTATATATTGCTGTTATTCTTTTGCTTGATCATGCATGGAGGCTACTAAGTACTATCCACCGCAAAAAGGACAGCGCATGCATGACATGCATGTTTATTGAGTCCCGAGGCAGAGGATTTTTTACATTCACCTGATAATTTTTGTACTTTACTACCTATACCCATTCTCCAAAATTTTTCAATAAAAACGATGAACTACATTCAAAGATAAATCACAGACAGTTTTACTGTTTTGGTTGTATTTAGAAGTCAAATGTTTCACATTGGCTTACAAACTCGTGATATAGTTACTTTTGAAAATTATCAACCTTCAACAAAACAAAACAAAACAAAACGCGTACAATTTCAAATAAATCAGTTCAAAGCCTATCAACATTTGCCAACAACAATTAACAAATCTAATGGCGTATTTGTTATAGAAATCAAAGATTAGAAAATATAAAAACAGTAACAACTGTCAACTGACCGATTTGATACGAAACATCTTGAAAGCATGGGGGTTGCGATTTTCTAGCTTTGTTGACTCGACTGTGTTGACAAAATTTTAAAATGTTTCAATTTGTAATTAAAAAGCAAACAAAAAACACACAAAAATTAGTAAGCATTTCGAACCATGTATCGAAAAATTGACGAAATATAATTCAGATCACTCTGATCCACTCCTTGTAATCGAAGTGTAACATTTTTTGTGGGAGCATGCAATTTGATACTCTGCCCTCCCTCCTTATCCAATCTATTTTTGTAAAGTCACGTGACCAGCCCCAACCAGGGTCTTTCCCATAGGTAAGACCCTGGGTACGAGGTTGAGCTCCAGGATATGATTATTCCTTAACCGACCTATTATCCGCAATTCCCACCAAAACTCTCACGACTGAGTGCAATTCTTGCCAAAACTTTCACGACTGATTCAGTACAGGACTGAGTCCGTGTGCCGTCGCTTGCAGGATGAACGGTCCGCGTTCATAAAAACATTGCCTATTCGCGTAAGAATCTTCGATGTTTGTCAAGAGCACTTGACAGGTTTTGATCTGATTTAATCTGTTGAACAACCAGATCCAAGCTTTGAAACCACCAAATGATCATCAAAAACATTTAACTTTCTCGGTAAAAACATTGAACTTTGTCATGAGAATAGACAATATTTTACTGCGACCGTTCATTCTTAGTGCATTCAGTAAATGAGTCCGCCTTTTACAAATCGCAGCCCGCGGTTTGTAAAACACGGACTCAGTCCACGTTTTACAAGTCTCAGTTCGCGATTTGTAAAACACGGACTCAGTCCGCATTTTCCCGGTCCAGTCCAGTCCGTGTTTTATAAATTCAGTCCGCGATTTGTAAAACACGCACTCTGTCCGCGTTTTCCCGGTCCAGTCCAGTCCAGTCCGTCTTTTACAACATGCTAAAATTTAGATACATTTAAATGTTCGTACGCATGAATAATCCTTTATTCTATAATTGAAATTTTGCCTTAAGTAAATTTCCTATTTTCTGTTTTCTAAAATCTGTACGTCGGGAATTTCATGGCAAGTTGAAGTTTGTGCATGAATTGCTCGATAGACGTCGAAGATTCATTGTGGCATCGGATGTAACTTTCGTGCAAGAATTTCATACATATTTGAATTGTTGGCAATTACCTGCAGGGCTATAGAAATGAACTTTATTGACTGTCAGTATTCATAATAGTTTTATTAATTTATTCTTAATCTTTTGAATTTATTTTTCAATAAACCCCCTGATGGGCACTATAATTTAGAATTAGAACGATGTTTAAGAACCGTTTTTGCAATTCAAATAATGTTGCACGAAATTTGATTGGTCACTGGGAATGTGTTGATCCCAGGAATTATCGTTTACTTTAAAATTGCGCCGTGAAACAAATGCGAATTATTCAGAGAAGATTCATCAAGGGAGCTGTTTGTGCATATAATAAGCTAGCGGCAACTATAATGGACGTCTTTTCAAATTTGCTTTATCTCTTGGTAATAGGAGTACTTGTATTGCCCAGTGAAGGCATAGTTATACCAACAGACTCTGCTACAAGCGAAAATCCTTTGACTGAAGGTGGAACAACAGAAAATCCTTCGACTGAAGGTCCAACAACCGAAGGTCCAACAACCGCAGGTCCAACAACCGCAGGTCCAACAACCGAAGGTCCAACAACCGCAGGTCCAACAACCGCAGGTCCAACAACCGCAGGTCCAACAACCGCAGGTCCAACAACCGCAGGTCCAACAACCGAAGGTCCAACAACCGAAGGTCCAACTACCGAACCAGCTATTGTACCGGGTCCAGGTATGCTAATTTTGTGTTACTCTATTTGAAGTGACAAAATGTCTTTAAGATAATGTTTGCATGAGATCGATTGAATGACGAATTGTACACAAGTTCGCAATAGATGCCAAATATAACTACCGGCATACAACTGTTTAGTTTCAAATGGTTTACAGGCTACACAGAGGGTTTACGCTGTTTACACTCTCTATAGTCAGTGGCAATGGTGTATGTGGTGTTTGTTGGTGTAATTGTGCAAGGATTAATTACAATCAGGCGATCTTATGCAGTAATTTTTTTAAAAGTTATAATTGAAGATGTATTCTTATTCACCCGATTATGCTTGTGGATTATACTCTTCCACGCAATCTACCATTTCACGTCCAACAAGCGAAACTGCATTATGACGTTGCCCAAATGAAATTCTTCAAATTAGGATCCAAACAAAGTTTCTTAGTTTGTTTGGTATCATACGCATTGGCATTTATTCAGAAAGTGCTGTTTTGCCCATGCTCTAGAACAACACATTGTAGTACTATTATATGTTTGTTGTTTTGTACAAATCCCTAAATGCGGCTAAGAAATGCAACTGTTCTAGTTCACAGGCGCCAAATGATATCGTATAGTATACCTGATGGCATAGAACTAGTGACGTACTGGCCACAGATCCTGAATACTCTAACGAGGGTCTGGCTAAGATTTATTGTGTATTTGGTGAAAGTATATACATTTGCATTTGGCATGCACTGGCACGTTTGAATAACGCTCAAGTGGAATGACGTGTTGATAATTTCAAAAATTTTGTTCCGTTTCACGATGACAAAAATGTGAAAATTGGGATATAGTTTGCATGCTTATCAATATGAACAGTTGTGGGCATAAGCAAAAATTTCTATATTCCGTTCGACGATGTATAACAATGTTAAAATCGTGATCTAGTTTGCTTATCCAACATTCGCATGCAGTTGTGGCCATATATGTTGTTGGAAAGAATGTGAAAACTTCAGTTGATCAAATTTGTGCAAAGATAGTACATATGTATATATTGCGGCACAATTCTCGTGAGTACTGTGGCAAAACAATCTTCAATTAGGCCACTGCAGAGCCAGAGGTTATGAAAATCGCATTCATATTTTGTGAGGTCGACAAAAGAACATTTTCTATAAAAAAATTTGAGCGTGCTGTGACAAAAATGATTGTCAAATACATGCCTGCACAGAGTTATAAAAACCAACTTTTTGGCATTGGTATTAATCAGTTAATGGCTGTGTTTCATATTTTGTCACATTGTCGCCTTTTAAGTGCTACGATACTCATGTCGATGCCGTGACAAGCGAATTCGGTATATTGTATACCTGGGGTGTTATAGCAACAGCGCTTTAGAAAACGGGCCGTTTGGCATTTGCATCAAGCAATTAATCGCTGTGCTCGATAGAAAGGAATGACAAAGGTTTTTGTTGATGGACGTTTCGAGCAAAAATCGCATTCATATTTTGGCTGGTCAACAAAAAAACATTTTGTATAAAAAAATTTGAGCGTGCTGTGACAAAAATGATTGTCTAATACATGCCAGCAGAGATATAGAAACCGACTTTTGGCATTGGTACTAATCAGTTAATTGCTGTGGCATATAGATTAATTCGTTCGACCAAAATAATCAAACTAAAAGTTTTGTATATATCCTTGTATGGCACTCTTAGTGGGTAAAGATAAATAAGAGTATATTCTCACAATTTCATTAAAGGTTGGATTGTTCTCAAAATGTGTTTTCTCAGCTAGACATGATATCAAGAGCAAGTTTATTTCAATAGACAATTAACAAACATCTTTATTCGAATAATGTTGACTTAGGGCCTGTTCATATGGGCAAAAGTTATCCCGGTTAACGAGAAAACTTTTGGACTAGCCAAATACTTTTGTTCTGTTCATATGGAGAAACTTTATCCCGCTTACCGGGAAAGTTTTCGGCTGTGACGTGGCACTGAACATCAATTGAATTGAAAAGTTGCTGACACACGACAGAAAGTTATCCCCCGCTAAGCGGGAAAGCTGTGTTCATATGGGAAAAACATTATCCCCGGTCACCGAGATCTCGCCTGCAACAAGCGAGATCTCGGTACAAGGGAAAACTTTTTGTCTCGTATGAACGCAGTGTAACTTTTCATATTATTTTCATACCAAGGCGAGATCTCGCTTGCAAACTTGTCGAAAAGTTTTCTCGCTAACCGGGATAACTTTTGCCCATATGAACAGGCCCTTATATTGCTAGTCATTTTGATCACACGCAATAATTTTCCATTAAAACATTCATTTGTACATACAAGCATATTGTGAGAAAATGTGTCGAGCGATAAACAAACCCTGATCATGCTTAGCAACTGTCATTTCATTCTTTGCTTCATTAAACTGGAACAATGGTAACAAGCTGTAGGTTGTCTAAAGTTGCGAAATGCGTAGCAACGATGTAAAGATGCAAGCGTTACTCAAATATGACTATTCATTATTGCGAATAACAACAGTAAGAAATCTAGCAGTCCAACCCCCGAGGCTGGTAGCATACCTCCCATTGGACGAAGAGAGAATTTGTATGATATACAGGGTGTATAAAAAAAGGTACTTCGAGCTTCAGCGCTCTATTGTATACCTGCCTTAATCTGCGTATGAACGAGATTTTTTCGTATTCGGAAAGATCATCTATTGAGCTGTTGAATGATATGTCTGTCATGCCAAATGGATAAAAAGTGAGCAGGTACGAGTCCGAGTAGAACGTACTGTGACAAATGTATGATATTGTCACTTATATGCCAGTAGAGCTAATAATATTGTAGAACCACTGAGTGTGACGCGCTCATTAACAATTGGTTCGACCAAAATAATCAATCTACAATTTTTCTACATGCGCTTATCTGGCACTCTTTGTGGGTAAAGGATAACTATCTTTTATAACTTCAACGAATGCTGAATTGCTTGAAAAATAAAATAGATATAAAGTGTGATTTTTGCCGGAAATGACATCAAGCCAGCTCTATTTCAATAGACAACATTTGTCTAATTCAAATAACGTTGCGTGCATTACATTCCTTTTAATCACATGCAATAGTTCTCCATTAGAAACATTCCTATAGGTATATACAACCTGAAAGAAACTTTGTGGGCCGGCAAGAGAAAAGCAAGCAGTAAATGAATGCCCCATGGATTACTTGCGAGAGACAAATTTGGTTCATTGATTGATTGATAATCATAATTTATTGATTTTAATTTGCAGTTACAATAAAAACGACTGAATTATGTACGATGCATGTACAGTGATGAATAACCTAATAATATGTACATATTAACAAGTAATAAAAATTGGATTAGATATATGATTATAGTACAATTAAAAAAAATAAATTACTGTTGAAGACTATTAGCGATTATGAATGAGTTCGTATACCGAATTCGAGGTAGATGGAATTTACTACAGCGTCTTAGGGAATACAAACAAACTTATTTCTCCGGAACTATAGTGAATGTAATTTATGATCTGTCATTTGGGCCTCTTCAAAAAGTTTGAGGCAAGCAGCTGTTCTACGATCAAACAATAAATCTAAATTCGAGGTTTTAATAGCGTCCTCATAAGAGAGGTTCGGATATACTCTTCTCAGGAAACACTTTTGTACTCTTTCAATCTCGTTGTTTAGATATTTCGGAAACATTGTCCTTAAAACTTGTGCAGGGACACAATCATGTGTTTTATTTATTTTAAATTAAAGCATAGTTCAAACATTCATTAAACCCTAATTTTGTTACTTGAGAGCCTGAAACGTTCCCCTATAGCAAATGTCCTACTTTCTCGTGTTTGAAGCCTTATCAATGACGGGGAGTGGGGCAGAGGAATTTTTCAACGTTTAATACATTTTTCGGGGCTCTCTCCATTCCCAAATATTTTCATTGCACATTCCCAAGGGTACTGTTTATTTTCATAGCCCCCCCCCCCCCAAAGCGCAAGGAAAATCAACGACTGCATTTCAAATTTTTGGCGGCCCACCTCTTCTTGTCACGAATTTCTTGCCCCACCTCATTCGTCCAAAAGAAATTCCATTTCTCACTTCAAATATTTGCCGCCCCGCTGTTGCGAATTGGGTAGGAATAATATAAACAAGCGCCCACTCAAATATGTCTATTCATTATTGTGAATCGGATAACAGAAACAAATCTGGCAATTCAAACCCCAAGGCTGGTAGCATGCCCCCCATTGAACGAAATGAAAGAGAGAGTTTGCATGATATTCCCTCCTCGAACATTCTTTCGCAAATACAGCTAATGCATGCAATCAAGGTTGCCCTTTCAAAGCCCAAACTTAAAGGCGCCAAGCCAAACCTACGAGTGAAAAGCACAATACGACGCACTCGAGTCTCGATGCATTTTTGTAAATATTTTAACGGACTTCAAATTTGTAAAATTATAAACGGCGTCTCTGCAAGGTAAAAAACAAAATATTTTTCAGTTGTGGGACACTCTGTGACACTCTATTAAGACATTCCTCTCTGGCTTGTTTACTATTAGGCCGGAATAATTTACTCGTTTCCCACGTCCGCACCTGAAAACAATGTTCGAAGTTTTAGCCATATTTTGGGAATGAATTCAACATTGAATCAAAATTATACAAATCGATCCGCTTGGCATTGATATTAATCATTTAATGGATGTGGCACACATTAATATAATTTGTTCGACCATCGACCAAAATAACGTTTTGTACATATCCTTGCCTCGCACTCTTAGTATGTCAGGATATTCTAGTATAGGCTATACATTTTTATAATTTCATTACAGGTTGGATTGTTTTATCATGTGATTTTTCAGCTAGACATGATATCAAGCAAATTTATTTCAATAGACATCAAACATCTAATTCCAAAAACGTTGCCTTATATTATATATTGCTGGTTATTTTGATCACATCCAATAATTGTCCACATTCCTTTGTACATGCATTCTGTGAGAACATTTCTGGATCGAAAAACAAATCCTGATGCTTAGAAACTGTCATTAAATCAGTGGTGCCACTTTACTTTTTTGACCACTTGCCCTTAGGGCAAGTTGGACATGAAAATTAGGTACCCTGAATACAATTCACTTGCCATCAGACGTTGGCCACTGGGGTACCAGGCTATGTTATATTGCCTCAAATCTAGTTTTGTCCCACAAAAACAAAACTTTAATCAAGTACATGCACTATAAATAATTTATATCTGACAACGAAAACATAAACTTAAAGATGCCCAGTTTTTGTGGAAATGCAACTTGTCCAATCGGGCAAGCAAAATAAAACGTTTACTTGCCCGTCATGATCACTCAGTTTCTCCGGGCAAGCGGGCAAGTGTCAAGTTACACCTCTGTAAATTCTCTACGTCAATAAACTGGAACAGTGGTAACTAGCTGTGAGTTATCTAAAGTTGCGAAGTGGGTTACAACGATGATAAACAATGGCCAGCCAAATTATCTATTCATTGTTGTGATGAACAAGATAAAATCTGGCAGCCTCCAATGTTTATAGCATAGCTCCATTAAATAAAGGGATAAATTTCAAAATACCCCATCCGCAAAGATTTCTAGCGTTGCTCTCTCAAAAATCCCCAACTCATGGGCGCCAACTTTTGACGTTCGTAAAATTATAAAACCGACTATCCAAAATATAAAAC